CGCCAGGCGCCCCCCTCCTCCCACGCGAGGGGCAGGTCAGTGGGGTGGGTCTGGGGGTGGGGGACCTGGCGCGCTGCGCATTTGCTGAGCCTGAGCGCGGAGAGACGGCGGAGGCCACCCAGTTACTTCTCCCCTCCCTGGGGCTGGGAGACGAAACGGGAGAAGCGGGTGATGGGGTGTCCCAGGGCCTGAGGCCCATCGGAAGTGTCCTGCCTGGGGGAGTGGGTGCGCGGCCGGCGCTGGAGCTGCCCGGAAGACCAAAGGGGCGGGGGTGTCAGGTTTTAGCAGACTCGGAAACTTTTCTGGCAAAGGGGCAGTGGACTCAGGGCTTTTCCTCCTAGCTCTGTGAGGATCTTTGAGAGAACCACAGTGCCGGGTTTGAAGAAATGGGAGAGAGTCTTGACGGGTGATTAGAGTTGATAGGAAAAGGAAACAATTCCCTTGGGCCAATTCCTGGGATTCTGATTCAACCTTTCCCGAAACGAATTGACTGAGTGTTTGGAATACTTAAAGGAACTTGTTCATTACCTGTAGAAACCTTTTAAAAAATATTTTCTTTCGTATAAGAGCCATTTTGGTGAAAAGAAACAAGGTGGATGGAGGCCTGGGGGTTCCTTTATTTAAAGAAAAGTAAGGCTGTGACAGCCAGAGAGGTGACTTGGGAGCAAGTGCATATTAATTTATGGTGTTTGGGGTTTGTTTTGCTTTGTTATTCTCTCTCTCTCTCTCTCTCTCTCTCTCTGTGTGTGTGTGTGTGTGTGTGTGTGTGTGTGTGTCTCCCTCCACTTCTTTTGTTTTTGTTCCTAAGAATTCCACTATATCCACTGCTCAGTAACCCTGGGGACAGGGGTTGCGGAGTCTACTGAAATGTGGGGGTAGAAACCAAGAGTTTAACCCTCTGTCCTTTCAAACGGAGATCACTGCCTCCTTCTATCTGACAAACTCACAGGGCCACTCACAGGGAGAGAGAAGTAGAAACAGGCCTGGCCCTGAGTCAGCCTCTGAGCTTTTTGTAGCACTGTTGACTCTCAAGGGCAGGAGTGGGCAGGCCTCTGGCTCTTAGCCTTGGTCTGGCAGGCTTGCCCCATGGCCTGGGGAGCCCTCCTACTTTCCTTTTTCTCAGGGCCTAGGGTGTTTGGGGGTCTGGGGCCTTCACTCAGTGGTCAGAGCCTCCCTGTTTATTTACCCCGTGCAGCTGCCTTGCTGTTGCTGCCCTGAGGTGATAAACAGTCACTTTCTGCAGTGGAGTAGCTGCATGGGGAGTTTGCAGCTGAATTTGTAACATACCCATTTAGGGTTCACACTTACATAATCTTGAGCTCTTCATAGGGTTCAAGAAGGGCCCTCCCTGAAGACAAACCTGCCCACCCGGTGCTGCAGGAAGATGATGCCTGCTGCCCGACATCTTCCCGGCGGGGTGGTTGGGAAGATGTGAGAATAGCACCTGCTCTGCCTCCAGATATACCAGTAGCAGCACAGGATAAGTAACAATAGAGGACGGAAAGTCAAATAGCAAATACTGCGACTGCTAACTGCCTGGGGGAAAACTCTGTGTGTAGGAGTTGTTCTGTGTGATGTGGTAACATTCTCCACTTTTTCTTCTTCCCACATAAGGTGTTCCACACAGATTCTTGTGACTTTAAGGACCAGGCGATTCAAGGTCTTCTGAGGAAGGGAGAAAATCTTGAGAAGAGAGGGGAAAGACAGCAGTTGCAGCCCTGGGACCAGCCGAGCTTGAGGCGCTGAAGGAAGCTGACAGACCCCAGCAGGAGGAGTGAAAAGGAGCCCCAGCTCCAGTTCCAAAAGATCTGAACTCACCAGAGAGGGCCCGCCTCGGGGGTCACTCCAGACTTGGGTTGGGCCTTTCTCTGGATGCCCCTTGCTCTGAGAGCGTGCTGCTGAGAACCAAAGAAGATAAGAGGCCAGACCCATTTCTTCAGGCACAGTGCAGGGCAGCCCAGGCAGGTGTCTGCACCCTTCGTGGCAGGCGGCCGCGTCTGGTGAGGAGTTTCTTGTTTCCCTGCAGCTCAGGGTGGCAGTGCTTGATGGGGCTGCCTGTTGGTGGATCAGTTTTTGCAGTGCCTGGTAGGAGCAGAGAGCCGCGGGAAGAGGTCTCGCGGCGCCCAAGCCTGGGTTCGCCCCAAGACTAAGTTCTTTCCTGAGTTAGAGAGAGAAAGAGGGAAAAGAAAGTACTCCTCTCCCCTCCTCCCTGCTCGTCATGTCCTCTAAGCCAGAGCCAAAGGACGTCCACCCGCTGAATGGGACTGGCCCCTCTCCCTCTCCCTGCTCTTCAGACGGCCCTGGGCGAGAGCCTTTGGCTGGGACCTCAGAGTTCCTGGGGCCTGATGGGGCTGGGGTGGAGGTGGTAGTAACTGAGTCTCGGGCCAACGCCAAGGGGGTCCGGGAGGAGGACGCCCTGCTGGAGAACGGGAGCCAGAGCAACGAAAGTGACGACGTCAGCACGGACCGCGGCCCTGCACCACCCTCGCCGCTCAAGGAGACCTCCTTTTCCATCGGGCTGCAAGTGCTGTTCCCCTTCCTCCTGGCAGGCTTCGGGACTGTGGCTGCCGGCATGGTGCTGGACATCGTGCAGGTAGGATGAGGGTAGGGCGGCTCCGGCCTGGGAACTTCCCCTCACCCTGACAGAAGCAGCTGCGCTTCCTCCAATCCTGTTTCCCTTTGAATCACCTTCTGCGGATTAGCACGGGAGCTGAGCAGCCCGGGGCGGTGGTCCGCAACATGCTTAACAGTAACAGAACTGGCTCCAAAGTCGGGGCTGGAGGAGGACAGGTGACCAGGCTGTGGCTCACCGAGTTTCCTGAGCTCTGGCACTCAGGGAGAGATGTCCAGATGGGTGTCCTTACAACTTCTTTCCCCTTCACTTGGGGTTTCAAGGATACCCATGGTAGAAAGCTCAGTTTCAAGTCTCTCCTCCATTCCCCTGCTGGGCAGGAATTTGTTTCTGTGCCAAGAGGGTCTCAGATGAAATGAAAAATCTTGTAAAGGCCCTTGGTGTTGCTTATCTTCTTGCAATCTTGGCATAGTCTACTTGGGGAGTGGGGGTGGGCACATGCTGTCTGATGCCTGATGGGGGAGTTGGCGTAACAAGACCTAAAAGAGCTGATTATTGCCATAAATGGGAACAGAGTGCCAGCGGGCTAGGCAGGAGGCAGAGCTGCCTCTCCTCTTTGCCCTTCACCTGTCTGTTATCAAAGAGGTCTCTTCATGAGGGCCCAGGTAGAAAGAAGGGTAGGAGCAGGGACAATGTGGGAGCTCAGAGCCAGGGACCTGCTATGTTGAGCGTATTATGACTTAGGACTCTCCAACCCAGGGCCTCTAGCTTGGGGAGCTAAAGTTTTGCTTCTGAGTAAATATTTAAGCATGGACGACACACACAGTCTTCAGATGGGCTAGGTTTGTCTGAGTTAATCAGCAGTGTGTATCAAGTTCCTTCCAAGTGCTAGCTTTGTCCTGGGTATTCAGAGAAATACAAAAGCCGGATGGGATCCGGCTTATGCCCTTTGGGATCCCCAGTTTTCCCTGACTATGACGTCTCCTAAAAGAACATGAGGCCCATTGTCGCCTCCCCTGTGCCAAGACAACACTATAAACCGAGCATATGGCATTGTAGTAACTGCTGGTAGAGCTCACTGGGCACGTTTCCCAGGGGGCTGTAGGTGGTTGATTCCAGGTGGCTCTTTCCATAGTGTCCACGTAGACCTTGAGCCCTTCAGGAAAACCCTGCACCTTTGTTTGCTAGTGAGTATGGTGTTTGTGGCACTCCTGGTACTGCCGCCCCTCTCCTCAAACCTGTTACTCGAGGACTATTATTCCTATATGGCAGTGAGGAAGCCAGCCTAGAATTGTAGATTCCTAGCGAGCAAGGGGAGGAAGAAAAGAAGAAATGAGGCTGGGCTTCACTTTTCCACCTCTTCTATCCCTTTCCTGTGGCCTTCATTTTCTTGTTCTCAAAGTTTTTAAGTTCTGGGTTGGCACCCACAGTGAGGGGTGCAGGGTTGGGGGTGTAGCTCAGTGGTGGAGAGCTCACCTAGCATATGCAAGGCCCAGAGTTCAATTCCCTGGCATCCAAAAGGAAGGGGAAGGGTACAGGGCCAGGCTAGTAATGACCTGGGGAGAGTTATTTTTCTGAGGAGCATTTCGGCAGCTTTCTTGTAGGCCTGTGAGGTAAGAAACAGATCCTCCCTGCTTTGTAGATAGGAAAACAGTGACTTAGAGAGATGAGATAACTTGCCTCTAGCCATCTGTCCCCAGCACACCTGTCGAATTAATCTCTGTGACCTTCAGCGCGTCCATAGTTTGGCAATTGGTTGAAGTCTTTGAGGAGCCTGCTGTCCTTGTCTTGACCTGAAGAAAGGGTTACTGGGATATGGAGCAAATGGAGATGGCTTCTGAGGTGAGCAAGAACAGAAGTTCGTAGAGGGGTAGGGAGCAGTTCACCCCACCCCTCACACATATCTCATGGTCCTGGAGCTGGAAGAGCCTCCCGACATCTTGCCCTGTGCCTGTGACCCAGGGCTGAGGCTGTAGGGTACTTCTCGGCTCCCCATCGTGCCCACAGAGGCTGGCATTTGTCCTCAGTGTGGCAGCTCAGTTCACCCGAGCTCTGGCCGGTGGGTGTGGGTGACAATGGCTGATCTGTCCTTACCCCAGCCTTCCCACCACAGCAGGGCAGGGCAAGGCCTGCAGACAGCTGCTGCAGGATCGAGGGTAGGGGGATCAAGACATGCAAGCACAGCAAGAGTCTTATCCCACATCCGGGGGAGGGAAGAGTGACTGACACCTCAGATGCAGGAGGAGCAGGGTGCTTTCTAAGGATTCACACTGTGTCTTTCCTTTAAGATGGCCTTCAATGGGACAGAGGCCAGAGGAGCCTAAGAGACAGGTGGCCGTAGAGGGTCCCAGTGTCACAGCAGCTGAGCCCAAGTCTGTGTGGGCCCAGTGCAGGTGCCAGAAGCTGCTCTGAAGACCTGGTCTCTTCCCAGAACGCCTATTTCTGTCCCTTCTTACCTGTCCTCGGCTCCACGTGCACAGCAGCCTCTGCAGTGAAATAAGGGGCCGGGGTGCTTGCCAGAGTAGCAGAAGGATAAATGGGCTGCATTGGCTTCAACTTGTCCACCATGGCCCAGTTTCCTGTGTCATTTGGGAGAGAAACAGCCTTGGGCCCAATGTTGACTTCAGAGAGGCATTGATTTTTTTTTTTTTTTTTTTGGTACTGAGAATTGAACTCAGGCTCTTGTGCTTGCAAGGCAGGAGACGGAACCACTGAGCTACATCCCCAGCCCAGGCATTGGATGTTTTGAGAGGCTGAGACAGGAGGATCAAAAGTTTGAGCTCAGTAACTTAGAGACTTAGTGAGACCCTATCACACACACAAAAGAAGTCCAGCGTGTGGATGTATTTCATGCAGATGTCGTTCGGCGTGAAGGCCTGGGTTCAATCCCCAGTAATGAAAGGGGGTAGGGGGTTGAGTAGGGAGCTCCACACTGTGATGCTTTGTGCCCAGCCCCCACATCTCACTCCCTTTTATGGCAGCCACCGTGAGGAGTGGGGCTGGCAGGAGGTGCAACCTCCATTAAAATTCCCTCCTGCATTAATGTAGGGTTCTCTCTGGCCCTCACTTGCTAAATAGGCCCTCTCTCCTAAGCCCACTCTTCTCTGTGTATTCAGAATCCTCTACTGAGAAAGCGAATGGCTGCGTGGCCTTGGGGAGGGAGGCTGTGAGAGGGAAGCTGTCCTTTTGCTGCGGCCCGCTCCTGTGGCCACCACATTCCTGAGCAGGACACTCAGGTCCCGTCTCCCTTGACCACCCTTCTGCTTTGCCCATGGCTTCCTCGTGCGTGTTCTCAGAATCCCATTTGCTTTTCTCAGATCTTGTTCAGCCCTGTATACTCAGGTGTTGCTGCTGGGGAAAGCTCACAGGTGGAGGCTGGGGTCACTGTGATCTTACCTGACTCCAGCCCGGCTTCCCAGGCCTGCTTACAGACTGTCTGTAGCTTGTACCTGGGAGTTTAAGTCTTACTGCCTTTTCGTGGGCCTCACTTCCTTCCTTCCTTGCCACTACCTTCCTGGAACAGAAGACTTAGCCTGAAGGCAGTGTATAGGGCTCCGGAGGTGGGATGGAAGGCGGGGTTGGATGTACAAGGAAGAGGTACCAGCAGGACCACTGAGGCCTGACACTTAGGGTGTTCGCTGTGAATCAGGATGTGTTTTGAGTGTGAGGGGTGCAGTTTTATCCCTTACTTTCAGAATATCCGGATCTAATAAGTCACTGGCCCCAAAGAAAGAGAAAGAAGGGCTGCAATTCTGAGGAGCCCTGAAAATCTGTAATTCCCCCGCCACCCCTCCCCCGACAGTGTAGGGCTTCCTGGACCCTTCTCCATTGCCAGCAGAGCAGGAAGTTGTGTGTGGCAGCTGGGCCAGTGGCTTGGCTGACTGGTTTGACTTCAGGGGCAGACACTCCCAGCCAGGATGAACAGGATGGGCCTGAATTAGGCCAGAGGAGGAAGAAGAGCTACTCACTGTCTGCCCCACCCCATGCTACCCACTGCTAATCTCGGGAGCACACTGTCTCCCTGGAGTCCTGCGTGGGCGGTGTATCACAGCCTCCCCTGCCTGCGCTGCGTCTTCAGACCGTTCTGTGGGTAAAGGAAGTGGGTGCGTAGGAATTGTCTGCTGCGGCCCAAGTGCCAGCTGGGGCTCTGCTGGCCTGGGGTCAGGCAGTATGAGCTCCGGGCTGTGTGCTGTGAGGTTCGGGAAGCCTTGCACAGGGGCGCAGGGCCCGGAGTGTGCCTGCTCACTCCCTCACCTGTCTGTCTCAGCTCATCTCCAGGAAATCCCCACACTTCCAGTCCTCCTGCAGTTGAAAAGAGTGTGTGTGTGTGCTGGGAGGTGGAGAGATTCCAGGGTATGTATAGTGGCAGCCAGAGGGGCTTAGCGGGCTTTATATATTTTCTTAGTAATAAATACAAGCAGAAGTCCTTACAAACAATTCAGAAATATTCACTACCTACACTTGGAATGTTTCCTTCGAGCCATTTCTCTGCCAGATCATGCCCATTATATTCATCTGTCTGGAGGGCTGAGTGAGTTTGCATGCGGCTGGTAGCTGGGGAGCGGCTAGGGCATAGGATTTGGGCCGGATGTGTGCTGTGCTCTGAGGGGACCCTCAAGAGCCCACTGTTGGCACCTGAGAGGAAGGGAACGCTCCTCCTCTTTGGAGCTCCTGTCCAGCAGGGAAGGAAGGACAAGACAAAGCCAAGAGAGGCTGCAGCTACAGGGAGCTCGAGCCCAGGATAGGCATCGGCTGTGTCTAAAAGTTCCCTGGGTTCCCCGAGGCCCATGGGCTCGCTGGGGCTCCTGTAGAGGTGAGAAGGGGCTGGCTCTCCCTGGGCTGCCTGAAAGCTCTCGGGAACTGCTGTGGAGGTGGGGCGCCTTCTCTTCTCAGCAGTTAGCAGAGAGGCTGCCCAAGAGGAGTCCTGAGAAGAGTTCTGGGTCCAGGAGCTCAGACAAGTGTGTGCTTCAGCCTTGATGAAATGAGCCCTTCCCTGAGGTCCTGTTAGGGCTGCGCTGCATAAGGGCGTGCACCCCACCCACACACACTCCAGAAACTTGGGTGAGAAAAGAAGGCCCTTTCCGTGTGGGACTACCCAGTGTCCAGCCCCCTTGGACAGTCTTGTTCTATTATTTTAAAAAAAAAAGCCCACATAAGAAAATTTCCCATTTTAACCAGTTTTAGTGTGTGATGTGTATTCCTAGTATTGTGCAACAGGTCTTCAGAACTTTGTCATCTTCCCCAACAGAAACTATACCCATTAAAGCGCTGGCCACCTTCCCTTCTCTTCCCAGTCCCAGTGTTCGCCTACTTACAGATGATTCAGATACGTGGACTCCCCGTACAGTCTCACCTTTTTGTGACTGGCATGACTGACTCTACATTAAGCAGCATGCCCTTGAGATTCACCCATGTCATTGCATGTGACAAGACTTCTTTCATTTTTACAGCTGAGTATGATTCTGCTGTACGGATGGAGCACATTTTGTTTATCATTCCATCAGTTGATGGACACTTAGGTTGCTCCCACTTCGTGGTTGTTGTGAATAGTGGTGCTGTGAACATTGGAGTGCACATCTCTCCAAGAACCTGCTCTCAGTTTTTTTGGGTAGGAGCCTAAGAGGTGGGATTGCTGGGTCATATGGCAGTTCTATTTTTACTTTTTAAGGAACTGCCATTCTGCTTTTCATAGTAGTTACAACACTTACAATCCCATTAGCAGTGCAGTGCGGGATGGCTCCAGTCTTCACAGCCCTTGCCAGCACTTACTTTCTTTTGTTGTTGTTGTCATTGTATTGGTTTTTTGAGACAGGGCCTCACTATGTAGTTAAGACTGACCTGGAACTCACTGTGTACTCCAGGCTGGTCTCAAACTCACAGTGATCCTCCTGCCTCAGCCTCCTGAGTGCTGGGATTACAGATGTGCACCACCACGCCCAGCCTAACACTTGTTTTCTATTTGTTTGTTTGCTTATTTTCTAATAGCCATCCCAATGAGTATGAGGAGCCACCTCACTGTCTCTTTGATTTGTACCCTTGCTCTTTAGCAATAGAGCAGCAGTGCTGGAATTGCAGTTAGTCTGTCTGGCCCCACGATGGGCCACTTTGGCCGGAAGTGTGATAACTTGCTAACTTGTCTGAGGTCCCTGCCCGGGTCTACGTGAGGAGATCTGTTAGAAATAGCGTGGGGCTCTTTCCCACGTCCCTCGTAGGAACCCTGAGGCTCTCATTCCACTGCCCTGGCTCATGACAGCACTTTGCCTCCAGACCAACCTGCCCACATTTGCCAGATCCAGCTTCTCCTTCCTCTCTAAACCTGGAGGCTTTTCATTCTTAAAACAAATAAAGAGAAAGAAAGGAAACTACATTGCCCATCAGCACCAGGGAAGCTACACAGTCCCCACCTTTTCTTCAAGTACTCAGTTTCCACCATGACTAAAGGGGCTTTCAAATAGCCAATCCTGGCTCCTGCATTTTTCCCTCCTAGCATTAACTGGCCTCTCCATTTCCTCAAGTACAGAGACTAGAGCCCGAGCCTCTAGGCCAGGGATCTTCCTTCAGGGGTGCACTTGCTTGTACTAGCTCGGGAGTTGGGGAAGGTGTGTAGGGTAAGAGAGTGCAGAGGAGGGACAAAAAGCCCCTTGCAAACCAGGCTTTTTCCAGCCTGGGACACAGTCTGGATTCAGAGCCTGGTCAGGAGAGTGGCTGAGGCCCAAAGCCTGCGCAGATAGAAACCAAACAAATGCTCTAATCTCCCAGCCCCAGCCCCGTGGAGCCCAGCTCTCCACAGCTGAGACAACACCGTCCAAGGCCGAGGCCACAGAGAAACTGGACTGAAGGCAAGGGGCCGCTGGGGGTGTGATTTGAAGGGGAGTTGCAAAGGAGTTCTGGGGCACAAGCCAGCTTGAGGTGGCTCAGCGTGAGCCAGGCTAGAGGTCTCCCCTATTCTAGGGCCAGGAAGGGGAACTGTGTTGTTTGGAAACCATGGGCTTGCTTTGCTCCCAAGGCCCTTGGAGAGGAGGCCAGTGTGCTCGTGCCCTGCTGATCCATTTCCTCCTCAAGCTCCTGACCCCACACTGTCCAATCAGTCCCAAAGCCAGCCCCTTGGGGCACTGAAATTCCTGGGCTCTGTTTTCACCTTGTAGCACTGGGAGGTCTTCCAGAAGGTGACAGAGGTCTTCATCCTGGTGCCGGCACTGCTGGGGCTCAAGGGGAACCTGGAAATGACTCTGGCATCGAGGCTGTCCACCGCTGTGAGTGTCCTGGCTGGGAGGAGGGGCCACAGAGAGGACGTGGGGCCACACAGAGCCAGAACCTGGGAGATGGCCGCTCAGCTGCCCAGACCTGGAGCACAGGGCTGGAGTGAGAAGGGAGATCCCAGGCTGGGCGTCCTACTCGTGGGCAGGGGCTTCCTGCCCAAAGTGGTTCCCGGGCTCCATTTCTGGATGTCCTGGCCGTCCCTGGATGCCTGCCCCACCCCCTGCTTCGAAACCTGCCTCGTGACTGTTTGTGCAGCTTTGACAGGCGGGCATCATGCTGGTCCCTCCACCCGCACAGGTGGGGGCCTCCTCTGATCTCCAGCCCTACTCTGCAGCTGGGCCGGAGCAGAGCCAGGCCCTCCCAGCCTCCCTCCCAGCCGTCCCATTCCCTGTGCAGCTTGTTCTTTAAGGGAATAGATGGGGAGGGGCTGCTCACCAGTCCCACCTCCCACAACTCCTCAGATCGGCCATGACCTTGCAGGGACTGACCCAGATACAGGGCCGTGGAGTGGTAAAACTCAAGAGGGCGAAGATGTCCGTGCCTGGCCAAGAGTCTGGAGGAGGGCCAGCCAGCCTAACCCACACCAGCGTGCTCCTCCCCAGACACCTGGGCCCGCCACTGACCTGTCCTTTCCTAGGATAGCACATCGGGTTCTGGGCCAGAGCTTGGGATGTTCTGACCCATACAGGAGTGGGCTGCCCAGATAGGCAAAGCAAAGGATGGAATCTGCTGCTTCCCCTGCATCCTGGGAGGAAGAGAGACGCAGCTGCCTTGGGAGCATCCTTCCTGCCCGCTTGCAGCTGCAGGCACTCAGACTCCATCTTCTTCTCTCCCACTCTGGGCCTCCGACCCTACTCACATTTTTAGCACTTTCATCTTCTGGTCCCGGAGTCTTAGGCCACATGTACTGCCTCTTAATCCAGGCAAGGATCTAACCGTGTAGCCCAGGCCTTTTCTAGCCTGGAGCTCCAGCCCCTCACGCTCCCTTCCCCAGGCCAACATCGGACAAATGGATACACCCAAGGAGCTCTGGCGGATGATCACTGGGAACATGGCCCTCATCCAGGTGAGACAGCAGGGATGGGTGGACCGCGCTTTCCCCATAGTCAGGATCTCTAAAAGACTGATTTGGGCCTGAGTCAGTCTCCTGCCAAGTAGCTCTGGTAGGCAGCCGAGTTACTGGCTAAGATGTCCCACTCTAGGCCCTCAGAGATCCTGGCAGTAGGAGCAGACTCAAGAGTGCTGAAGTAACCTCAAATAGTCCCACCTCCCCAGGAGGCCACACAGGTCCCAAGATTGGCCGTCTTCCTACTGGAGCCCCAGGTTGTGACTCTAACCCCTGTCCCTAGAGCACCACTCATTCAGCCAGTAATGTGTCCTGGGCTCCTGCAGGGTGTGCTGCCCATTACTAGCGTCTGGTGTGAAACTAAATAAACAGAGACATCCGTCCAGCCTGTCTCCTAGGGCTGCTGAGGGTTCAGTGACCTCAGCTAAGAAGCCGTGCACATCACCACGCCTCTCCTCAGGTGCAGGCCACGGTCGTGGGCTTCCTGGCGTCCATCGCCGCCGTCATTTTTGGCTGGATCCCTGATGGCCACTTCAGTATCCCACATGCCTTCCTACTGTGTGCCAGCAGTGTGGCCACAGCCTTCATTGCCTCCCTGGTGCTGGGTAAGGAAGGGAAGGGGCACTGGAGTCAGGAGGGCTGCCCTGAAGGTGTGGACTGCACCTGGCTTCCCCGCTCCCTCCTTTGGTCTGTAGGCGCCCCTTTCTCTCTTCTCACCCTGCCTGGCCCACCTCCTCTTCTCACCAGGCATGATCATGATTGGAGTCATCATTGGCTCCCGAAAGATTGGGATCAACCCAGACAATGTGGCCACACCCATCGCTGCCAGCCTGGGCGACCTCATCACCTTGGCGCTGCTCTCGGGCATCAGCTGGGGACTCTACTTGGAACTGAGTGAGGCTGAGGCCACCAGGAGTGGCTTGGGTGGACTCCGGGGTAGAACCGGGAGAGACAGTAGTCACTTTGCAAATGTGCAAGGATGTTTTTCTATGTTCATTTGGTTTGAACAGTTTGTCCTGATACCTGATCTTAAGAGGGGAGAGGCCAGGCACTGATTTCAAATCCATTCCAGCAACAGGGGTTCTGGGAGAGTTTCATACATACATTCTTGCTTGGTCCTGTAGATCTTGCTTCTCTTGAGCAGGTGAGGCAGAAAGGGTAAAGGAAAGGAACTGGGGCTGGAATCTGCAGACTAAAGAAGGGGTGGGAAATGGTGATTGCTGGGGTCAAATCAAGAGACTTGGAGTCCAGACTCTGCCCTTCATAAATTCAGTGCCTGAGTAGCTGTGTCTACCTTGGTGTCCTCCTCTACAAAATGGATGTGGCTGCCCCATCTACCTCCTTGGCCCACAGCAACCATCAAATGGGGCAGTGTGCTGACAGACATTTAGTGTAGCGTTGCTGTCGGTCCACCGGGGCATTTGCAGGCTGAGCCCGGGGTGGTTGGCACAGGGAGGCACAGTGTTCATCTCCTTCTGGTCTTTACCCTCTCAGATCACTGGCGATACATCTACCCCCTGGTGTGTGCCTTCTTTGTGGCCCTACTGCCTGTCTGGGTGGTGCTGGCACGACGAAGCCCAGCCACGAGGGAGGTGTTATATTCAGGCTGGGAGCCTGTCATCATTGCCATGGCCATCAGCAGGTAGGCTGGGCCCTGAGTGTGCACCCCCGCCCTGCCGTGGACTCTGGGGGACCAGAGCAGACACTAGTAATGCGTCTCATGGTGTGTCAGGCACATGTCTTTCCGTTGCAAGTGACGGGAGCTATCTGAATTGGGATTCATTCCAAGCAGAATGTATTGGCCAAGGGAACTAAGAAAACAGCTGGATTCAGGGGCACATACACTATCATCAGGGCCCCCAGGACTCTCTTTCTCTCTCCTCTGCTTTTCTCTAAGATGGCCTACAGCCCAGGCTCATTCTTTGCTGATCTCCCAATTCCAGTGGGAATAGAGGGATTCTTTTCTCCTCAGTGCCACAAAGTATCAGAGTAGAATTTGATTGGTTCTCATCTGGTCACATGTCAATCCCTGAACCAATCCCTACGGCCCTGGCCATGCAGTAGTCTTGAGTGGATCGTCTGGAGTCCAGCTATCATTGAATCAAGGTCATCTGGACCACAGTGACTGAGTTTAAGAGAGGTGGTTCCCTGAGGAGGAGCCCAGTACTGGTAGCAGAAAGGGAAATGACTGCCAAGGAGACAGAATGCCAGAGGTCATCATGGGCAGGGCAGTCCTGTGGGCATCTCCTCAAGCGAACTTGGAGGGCAAGCACAGGAGGTGGCTGCCTAACCTTGCACCACCAGCTGGGACTGGGTTCACTTTGCCAAGTCAAGAGGTTATGAGCAGCAACTGCTTCTGGCAAAGGACTGAAAAATGAGGAAGCCCCCAGGCCTCCCTTTGTCCCCAAGACTGAATGGGCCTGTGCCTCTCATTCCAAAGACCAGAGCAGAATCCCTCAACAATCTTTGTGTCATTTTGTCTTTGTCTCTAGCGTGGGAGGCCTCATCTTAGACAAGACTGTCTCGGACCCCAACTTTGCAGGGATGGCTGTCTTCACACCTGTGATTAATGGTAAGATCCTGGCACCAGGGGAAAAGTGGGGCAGAGGACTTGGTGGCTGGTTTCTGTTTTTTCTGGGTTCCCACAGGCAGGAGAATATAGCTCAAAGCTCAAGACTTTCAGGAAGGGAATGCTTACAAGGTGGCAGCAGGGTAAAAGGACTGAAAAGGGATGTCAAGGTACCCAGAGGTTGGCAACAATGGAGACCTTCAGGGCTGGGGGACCTGGGAATTATGTTGCAGGAGCCCAGCAAGGGCTTACCTCTGCCCCCAGCAGGGGCAAGGCCCTGACCACTCTCTCTCACCTTCTGATCACCTGCTGCTGCCTCCCACTGCATAGACTTGAATAGAAGCACCCAGCGGGAAGACTGGGGTTGCAGCTTGGAGAAGTAGAGCTCCCAGGCTCAGGCAAGGCTGAGCGGAGCAGGAAGTACGCAGAGTAACCAGCACAGTTCCAGGGAGAGGTACCCAATTCCAGAGTTCAGAGCTCAAACCTGCTACTTGAAACTGGTTACCAGAACCAGCCCGTGAGCTCTCGGAGTAGTGGAGCAGATGAGGCAAGCAGGGCCTTGTTCCCTGTGCTGTTTGCGCACAGTAGCGGTAGAGTTGGCAGTCCTGAGCCTGCAGATCCGTGGGCCAGTGCAGCTGAGCCTGGATGATATGTGTGCCTTTGAGAGGCAGGGACTGGAGCTGGTGGGCTGTGTCCGTGCTGTCATACTCACAGTTGCACTGTAGAAAGGAAGACAGGAGCCTTTCCTAGTGTCTCAGTCTTCCCTTGGGGACTTGAGATTGGGCCTAAATGAAGACAGCGGACAGCGGTGCCAAGACAAGAAGGCAGGTCATTTCCCCGCCCCTTCTCACTGCCCTGAGTCTGAGTCCTGTGTGTCTCTGCAGGTGTTGGGGGAAATCTGGTGGCGGTGCAGGCCAGCCGCATCTCCACCTTCCTGCACATGAATGGGATGCCCGGGGAGAACTCTGAGCAGACTCCTCGCCGCTGCCCCAGCCCTTGCACCACTTTCTTCAGTCCTGGTAATGCCAGGTTCTCAGCCTGTCCCGAATTTCTCTTGCAGTCCTGGAGGGAAGAAGCAGCTGGGGCCTAGGTCCAGGGTTCTCCTGTGCTGGGCTCTGCCAGCTGCTCCAGTTGTCTTTCCCGGGATACCCTGGTAATGGGGACCAGGGATGGAAAGACAGGGGACAGTGAGCTGCCTGCAGCCCTGAAATATGGCTGGGCCCTCCTAAGCAGGACCTTCGTGGGCCACGACTCTTCTCCCTGTCCCTGTCCTTGTCATACTCTCTCCCCCAACCCAGATGTAAATTCCCGCTCGGCCCGGGTCCTCTTCCTTCTCGTGGTCCCAGGACACCTGGTGTTCCTCTACACCATCAGCTGCATGCAGGGTGGGCATACCACCCTCACCCTCATCTTCATCATCTTCTACATGACCGCTGCACTGCTCCAGGTATGGGCCGGCCCGGGGCAGGCACAGGGAGGGTGGGAGAGGAGGCCCAGGCTCAGCCATTACATGCCACGCCGTAGCCCCTCTCTCCCTGGGTCTGGGTGGACAGAGTTTACGAGAACAGATGGTGTGTGGCTCCAGCAGACTCACTAACGTGCTGTGTGACTTTGGTCCAGTGTTTTCTCTTCTCTGAGCCTCGGCGTTAGGTCTGCAAATTGAGAGGAATGGGCCAGAGGTGGTCGTTCAGGTCGATGGCCGTAGGGTGCTCAGCAGGTGGGCTTTGGCAGCCACCTCCATTGGTTGCCGCAGAGCTCTGCTTGGCTCTGCTTAGTGTGCTGGGCTTCATTTAGGTAAAGGGTTCATGACAAGATGTCAGGACCACTGCACTAGATGATCCGTCCACCCTATTACTACTTTTTATTTAGTTGGTCTTGTATTTTTTGGCGGGGGGGAGGATTGAAGGCAGAGTCTCCCTTTGTATTTCAGGCTGGCCCTGAACTCATTGTGTACCTAGGCTGGCCTCAAACTCCCAGCAATCCTCCTGCCTCAGCCTCTGAGTGCTGGGACTACAGACATGCGCCACCATGCCCAGCTTAGCTAGTCTTCTGTTGATGAACTTTGTCCCTGCAGGTCCCAGTCCCCAGCTATAGAACGGCTGTGTGCAAGGGCTGGCTGAGAGTCGACCATACGCTCTTGCCTGGCGGCGTGTACCCAGGCCGCCTGCTCCCTCGCACGTTGGGTCACGTGAGCCCTGTTGGGAAAGGAGAAGGGGCAATGCCAAGGTGTGTAGTATAGGTTTTCGGCTCCTCCCTTGGCCCAGGTTAAAAGGAGAAGTCTTGGCTCCATTGCCCGTCATGAGTGCCCACGGGGACACGCTGGCCACCGCTGTCTCCTCTAGACCTGTGGAGGAGCAGAGCGTGACACTTGATCCCCTGGAAAGTCTTCCTGATCCCTTTGCCGCTACCTCCCAGTCTCGCGTCTGGGGCTGCTCAGGAGACCAGTGTGAGGACAGCTGCTGCCATTCCCGTCCTGGGGCACCTCTCGAAGGGCCTCTGGCCACGCTCTCTACTGGGGACTCTTCTGCAGCTGCCAGAAAGAGTGTGGAGTTGGGGGGTCTCCATCCAGGGCCAGGGCCCCAGGAGTACGAGTCAGCTGTACGCAGGGCAAGGGAGTGGGGAGGGCGCCGGGGGGCTGTGACCCCTGACTTCCTTGGAGAGAGGACAGGAAAGCCACCAGGGTAGCCTAAAAATAGGTATCCACTGTGGCTTCTGGTGCGTAGCAGCTCTGGGTCCCTTAGGGCAGAATTTCCATCCTGCAGTATTTTCACAGTAGAGTCAAGAGTAAAACTTGCCACCTGGCATGGTGTCACACACTTGTAACCCCAGCTGCTTGGGAGGTTGAGGTAGGAGGATCTGAGGTTCAAGGCCAGGCAGGGCAACTTAGCAAAGACCCTATCTTAAAAAACAAACAAATAAAAGGAAAACCACCTAGATGACTGTGTTGGGATTTAAACTTTAGAAACCATTTCATTCTCACACAGACATAGTCATTTAGACACGGGCCGATGCCAAGCTGGATTCTAGATCAGGTATACCGTCAATCCCAAACCATAAATCTTGTTAAAATGCAAGTTCTGACTCAGGCAGTGGAGCCTGCGTTTCTGACAAGCCCCCAGCTAAAGTTAATGCTGCTGGTCCCGAGCCCATTAGCAAGATTATGTCCAGATCCTTAATTAACTGTAGGGATTGTAGGTAAGCAAGGGAACAGATTTGTAAAAAATAAACAAATAAGCAGCAAACGATCCAAAATGTATTTTGACTTGCTCTGCACTGGCACAGTAGACAGTTTTGTTTTGCTAGGACCAATGTTAAGCCTGCATTCTTTGACAGCAGAACAGGAAGGGTCAGGAGAAAGCCAGCTTACTCAGACAACTGTCCCTACAGCAGCCTCAAACAATCTCCCTGTCCCACTCTGCCCAGAGAAGAAAGCTCTGTAGGAAAGGCTGAGTCCAAACGCCAGTCCCCTGCCAGGATCCTGGGGAGACCAACCTGGCAGGAAGTGGAGTGACCCAGGATTAAAAGCAAGAATGCTAAATTCCTGCCGGGGAGGATCTAGATCAGGAAGCCCCTGGTTTGATGAACTTGGGAGCCGAATGCCGTGCTGAGATGAGTGACCCCACCCATAGCAACTTCTTCCTCTGTAAGGAGCTCTTGTTTTTCCTGTTGGTAACTGTAGGGTAGGAGAACAGAGGGAGGCCTCTGGGTGGGAAGGTAAGCTGTCTCAGCCCAAGGATGCGGTTGGCCAGGGCTTGTGATGCACGGACTGGTCCCATCATGTGGCCTCTGGCTCCCCCTGGAGAGAGGCGATGGCTCCAGACAGGGCCTTCTGTCCCCAGGTGCTGATCCTCCTGTACATCGCAGACTGGATGGTGCACTGGATGTGGGGCCGAGGCCTGGACCCAGACAACTTCTCCATCCCGTACTTGACTGCTCTGGGGGACCTGCTTGGCACTGGGCTCCTGGCACTCAGCTTCCATGTCCTGTGGCTTATTGGGGACCGAGACACAGATGTCGGGGACTAACTTGGCCACTCCACCTTTTCCCCGTCCCTCTGCACTTTCTATTTGATTATTTTCTTTTGTTCTCCTGTCCCTACCCCACCCCACACTCCCACATCTTTCGAGGACTTCACTTTGATACCAAATTCTCATTATTTTCAATGGGAATTTTTATACATTGAGCCACGTTTGGATAGCAAGAATTCAGGAAGGACAGATGGACTGACATAAGCAGTACAAGTAGATTTCTGAGACAATCACCAAGTGCAATTTCATGGTGGGTGCCTCCCGACTGAGGTGGATTGGGGCGGGGGGTTTCTGTCTGAGATCTGGGGACATTGGGTTTAGCTTTAGCAACCTCAGTCTTGGCCCTAACGAGAAATCCTTTCTGAGTGGGCTGTGGTTATTTGGTTTTGTTGTTTTCTTTGTTCTTTTTCGTTGAACAGAGGAATAAGTAACACTTTCCCTCAACACACACACACACACACACACGCACACACACACACACACACACACACACACACAC